TTTTTAATTAATTTTTTAATATAATTATTTATTTAGTATAATAAATATATTTTATTATAAAAAAAATTGTAAAGATCAAGAGGGGGAGGGGTGGCCGCTGCTTGCTCCCGTTACATCCATCCCTGATTTTATCCCCTTATTTATAACATCAAAAGTACATTTGAAAGCTTAATATATAAATTATTAAAATATGAACTTGTTAACAACATGTAGAATTAACATATACATTAACATTACATATAATTGCTTATAAAAAAAAAAACATCACATATAATTTAAAGGGGGTGTATTGGATTAGGATTTTAAAAGATTTTTTTAGTTAAAAGAAATCCTGCAGATTTTAAAAGACTTTGTAGGATTTTCATGACTTTTAAGATTTTGCAGGATTTTACAAGACTTAAAATAAGGATTTTAATAGATTTTGCAAGACTTTTAAATCAGGATTTTAATGGATTTTATGGGATTTTGTAGCGAAGCTCCGTCGACTGATAAGATCCACTCACTTTCTCCGAAAGAGTCTCAGCCGGTGGGGTCAGTTCTACCAAGAAATCGGCCAACACTTGAGCTTTAATGGCTCCTCTTGGTTCGTACCTGATTGCAAACTCAGACAACTCGATCGACCACTTCATCATTCTGCCAGCAAGGTCGGGCTTTTGCAACACCTGTCTGATAGGGTGATCTGTTCGGATTACCATTTCGTAGCTCTGAAAATAGTTTCTGAGCTTCCGTGCGGTTATCACTATGGTAAGTGCCAACTTCTCGATCTTTTGATAACGAACCTCCGCTCCTTGCAACACTCTGCTAACAAAATAAATAGGCAGTTGGGAGTTACCTCTTTCTTGCACTAAGACCGCACTGACGGTGCTATCGGATGCCGACAAATATACCAGCAAAGGGAGATCGGTTTGTGGTTTGGTGAGGATTGGTGGTGAGGTGAGAGCCTGCTTGAGTTCGCCAAATGCTTTTTCACATTCATCTGTCCATGCAAACCGATCGTTCTTCCTCAAGCATTGGAACAAGGGCAACGACTTGTCGGCTGCCTTTGAGAGGAACCGAGAGAGGGAGGCCATCTTCCCTATCAACTGCTGGACTTCTTTTATCGTCGCGGGACTTCTCATATTGATTATCGCGGAGCACTTATCGGGATTTGCCTCAATACGACGATGAGTCAATAGGAACCCGAGGAACTTTCCTGCTTGGACGCCGAAAGAGCATTT